ATGAGTGTTCTTTGGCATACTACGTATTAAACAGGAAAATATTAAATAAAAAACATGGTTACAATAAAAAGTGTTCACAAAAATGTGGGTTTTTAAGTAATTGCAGTTATACTAATTTATATTCATACTAATTTTAGTCATATTTTTATCCTATGTTTATTTCACACTCCCTTAGATTAAAGTACATTTAATATGTAGTGCCTTTAACTTAATAGTTGAATATGTGTCGTTTTATACGTAATATTATAGTGAGTAATTTAGACGGAGTACTACGTACGTATAATTATCACTTTTGCTTGTTTATGCATGCTAGCTAGTCAGTGGCGGATCTATGTTCCAAACTATGGGTGTTCATTTATTTTCTATAATTAAAATTTGAAAAGGCAATACATAATTAAATTAAATTTATACATGTATACTAGCTTTTTTTTTTCAAATCTAGGTGTTCATATGAACACCTTTGCACCTATACAGCTCCGCCACTGTAGCTAGTACGTAGCTAGATATTGTGATAGTTTAAACTAATGAGTTAGAATAATGTAATTAATATAATCCACACTTGCATTTGTATATGCAGGGATGACTTTAGGGATTTCGCAGATCTTTGCTTTAGAGAATTCGGTGAAAAGGTAAAGCTATTTGCCACCATTAACGAGCCATGGACTTTCTCATCCAAGGGCTACGATTCAGGCGATTTCGCCCCCGGTCGTTGTTCACCGTTCATGAACCCAACCGCGGGCTGCCTTGGAGGCGATTCCGCGACTGAACCCTACATTGTTGGCCATCACATAATTCTTGCTCATGCGGCTGCGGCTAAGGTTTACAGGGAGAAATACCAAGTAAGTGCTACTATACTATACTATACAAACTATATATAGTCATTTGTGGTTATCTATATGTGTGTGAGATCAATTGTTCCACTGCACGATTTAACGAGAGAAATGAAAATGGATCCCGGGTATTTGATTTAAGATTTTTGTACTAAGTTATCTGATCGAAATAGAAATGTGCACCTCCATGGTTCTAAAACACAATGCCATTTTTAAATTCATTGTTCGTTTTTTACATTACGAGTTTTACATTGTCCAAAATATAAATGTGTGTCGTTCAATTCGTTATGAATAAACATATGCATCATTTAGCATTTTTTACATTATTCACGGAAACAACCTTTTTTCAAGGGAACGTAATGTCCTACGGAGTACTAGATGGGCAATTTGAAGTGAGCTACATTTCAATTTTGTTAATTACTAAAACAAATGCCATACAAGCAAACTGGTTATATATTTTGAAATGCATGGATGGGATGAAGTATATTCAATTATGTTTATTACCTACATATTAATTTTAAACAAATAACTGTATAGGCAACACAAAAAGGGAAAGTAGGAATTGTACTGGTGTCTCACTGGTTTGAACCCTACTCCTCTACGCCAGAAGACAAAAAAGCAGCGCAACAAGCTATTGATTTCATGTTTGGATGGTGAGAATTATATAGTGTCCTTACAAATTAATCTAATTATTTCTACGTGATACTAGCAAAATAGAAAGATATACAATAAGTAATTGTATATCTATTATGATTCGTGATTTCATCATAAAAGTTCAAACTTAAAAGAACAGTAATTCAGAATCTCAATATATCACTTTATTACTTCATATTTTACGAGTTCTAGCGTATCTTATATTGTCTTTAATTTGGTTAAATTCATGGTTTATATAAAGGACATTGCATCCATTAACTTACGGTGATTATCCAAAGAGCATGAGGACACTGGTTGGAGACCGGTTACCAAAGTTCACATCCGACCAATCAGAGATGGCCAAAGGATCATTGGACTTTCTCGGACTGAATTACTACACTGCAAGATATGCTAAATATATTTCGTCTCCTAACAAAGTTAATATCAGCTACACCTATGATTCCCTAGCCAACCTCACATGTATGTTTCTTGGCCATTTTTTTAATTTAAAAAATAGAGTATATATTGTATTCTACTTATTTATCCCAATATTATATATTCATTTTAATTTTTTTTTACTTCTTTTTTACAGCGGAGAAGAATGGAAAACTCATTGGTGCAGCGGTGTGTTACGCGAACAATCAATCCTTAATTATATTTCTTCCAACATTAAATTAATATGATGAGCAATATTTTTGAATAATGTGATCCTATCAGTTAGCTTAATTAATTTAATAAGGAAAATTTTGGGTCCAAAATTAAGTCACAATGCAAGAATGCATGCACACTTGTAGTTAATTTTTATATTTTTATAACTTTTTCTCTTATTTGCAGACGGGATCAACAGAATTTTTCGTCGTCCCAAGTGGACTTCAAAAGCTGCTTCTGTACACAAAGAACAATTATAAAAACCCTATCATATATATTACTGAGTGTGGTATGTGCAATTATATTACCATATTACACATGTTCAAAATAACTAAATGGATTGAAAATTTGTTGATTATATATACTCAGACTACATATATCTTAGTCCCCTCACGATGAACCAAACTTAAATAAGAAAAAAATATTATTTGATCAATATTCATAAAAATGTCATATGTCTTCTAAAACTAGAGTCAGACTTGATCACGTAAACCTATTCGGAAATAAAGAAGCTTGATCGAAGACTGCATTACTAAGTGTCATAAAAACAAAATGAATTCCTTAAACGAGACCATTATATTGATGAAACGTGTGAATTGAATTGAATGAATATATGTTTGGAATACATTAAATTGATGAAGTGTGTGAATAAAAATGCTAACATTGTCCTCTTAAACTGAATTTCCCAGAAAAATTCCACCAACTTACTTTCAACAATTCAACATGAAAAATATAAGAAATTAGTTTTTAAAAATGGTAAATATCGCTGGCTGGCAAGCAAAAAGAGCTTTCGATCAGCTCCAAAATAGCGAATGAATAAGAGTGCAACGTCAAACAATTTTATATTAAACATGGTTCACACAGTAATAATTTGAAAATGTGGTGTAAAATCCAATATTACCCAAAAATGGGATGTTAAGTTATATTACGTAGTATTAAAAATGATTGTATTATAAAGTTATATTTTGTTTAAAATTGTATTCCTGTACGGGCAGGGGTCTACTCTCATAGTCATAGGGAGTAAATTTAAATTAACATTGGATAAAAGATTACTTACTTTACTTTCATTGACTATTTATTTCATTATTTAAATTACCACAAATATCAGGAATGTCAAGCTTGGGTGTCACTTCAATCGTCAAGGAAGGAGTTAATGATACTGAACGGGTTGATTTTTACAATAGTCACATTTTAGCGGTCAAGCATGCCATTGGGTATGTAAAATATACATAGTATATCTAATCAATATTATACAGTAATCATATTAATTATTATTGTTATTTATTATTTATTAATAATATAATTATATTATTATATTATTATTAACGTGTTATCATTGTTGCGAGCAGATTGGGGGCGAAGGTGGAAGGGTTCTTTGCATGGTCATTTTTTGATAATTATGAATGGAGTTCAGGGTTCACGAGTAGGTTTGGTCTCAACTTCATAGACTATGAAAATGGCTTAAAGAGATTTCCCAAAAAGTCAGCTCTATGGATGAAGAAGTTCCTTCAGCAAGATATTTAATTATTATATATGTGTGCATAATATATATAGTTAATTTACGAGTAATATTATATTATTGGTTTTCTCAAAATTCGAAGAATAAAGCTGGGAATGCACTCCGGATGAAGTCATGATCGAAGACGTGATGTTGTTCCATCTCATCTTCCCTTGTATCATCTACCAATTCAATAATGTGTGCCCAATTAACCACAAAATTGTACTCAAATTCATTCAATTAATGTGTTTTACATTCTTTTATAAATAAAAAATAATAGTGATGCCACTACTTAATTTGCGTCGTGATTTTAATTTAGAATATGTTTCGTATCATATCACATTCAATTCCACAACGATGGTGATCAAATAGGCCAGGTAAAAATTATATCATATCATCAAATAATTAGTCTCCGGTTTATAAGTTTTCTGTTGTGCTTGCATTGTTTTAAGAAGCAAAATAAAATAAAATTAAGCATTAAGAATGCATCGATCTATGATCATATACTTATGTCCAGTTTGAATTTAATTAATTAAAAAAAAACATAAAATATAGCATAACTATATGAACAAATACTCAACGAATTCTCTTCTAATAATGAATTATTCTATTCTAGCTTCTTCTTTTAAATCAATATTTCAAAATCACATGCAATCTTGTTATTTAATTATAATAGACAGTTTCAAAATTATTTCATATGAATTTTTTTTAGTTATCATGATTATTTCAATGATTATTTTGTTATTATAATGAATTATTTTGTTATTTAATTATAATTCATTAATTTCAAAATAATAGTTCATTAATTTCATTATAATGAACAAATACACAACGAACATTTAATAATGAATTATTTTTTAATTATCATGATTATCAAAATTATTGCAATGATTGAACAAATTATTTCTTATAATTAATTTTTCATATGATTGCATATCAATCTTGTTATTCAAATAATCAAACATTTATCTTGTTAAATTATCAAATAATTTAATCTTCTTTTAGTAAATCTTGTTATTTCATTATTTCATACTAGTTACTATATTTAATATAGTAATACTAAAGCTAGTTTGAAATGTCTATTATAATGAAATAACAAGATTGCATATGATTTTAAAATATTGATTTAACAAATAATTCGTAATTTGTTATTAGTTTCAAAATAATTCACAATTTTTTAAATATTTGTTATTATAATGAAATAATTATTTCATTATAATTATTTGAAACATTATAAAATCATATGCAATCATATTAAATGTTTGATAATAGTAATCCCTATAAAAGTACAAAATTAATATTAACCTACATGTCATAAGAGTAATAATAATAGTAATAGTAATAATAATCATACAAATAATAATAGTAATAATAATAAAGTCTTAAATTACCTTCTGCATATCTGAGACCAATGTCAATCTTGAACCATCTTCCAAATCAAGCTCTTGTGCTAGCCAACATAAAAACCGCTTCCAATTATTTTTATTTTCTTTATCCACTACTGCCCAAGCTATTGGGACCATCTGGTCATTGCCATCAACACCAACGGCCGTTAGTTGACCTTTAGTAACTCCTTTTAAGAAACACCCATCAAGTCCTATTAAAGGTCTACATCCATTCAACCAATTCCTTTTGCAAGATTCAAAGCATATAAACATCCTTCTAAACACTCTTCTTCCATCTTTCAAAGCTTCTTTATCCAAATCAATCTCAACCTTTGTGCCCAGATTACTTCTTTTAAGTGAATCAGCATAAGCTGCGAGGTAGCTAAATTCTACTTTAAATGACCCATCCAACTCTTGAATAACAAGTCTTTTAGCCCTTTTACATTTGTCAATAGCAGTATACTTTGGGCATTGATCTTCAACTCCTTTTCAGCATTGATCTTCAACTCCTTTTCAGCATCATGTTTCATCATCTTAGCAGTATACTTCGGGCATTGATAAATTCTATCCTTAAAATACTTGGCTAGCCAGCTTGCAGAAGCAATAGATAAGGAATAATGCCTATAGCACTTATGTTCATTCACCAATGTCTTCACAGCTAAATCGGGATTTTTCCCATCTTTAGATATATATAGATTGAATGGACAATTTACTTCATTCATACATCTCGCCCTAATTCTTTGAGGTTCCTTTGGGTCAATTTTAAGTTGAACCCCCTTTGCAATAGAATAGTTAGCTATAGCACTTCTAGCTTCTTTTGCATTACCAAATGTCATTCCTAATCTGAAATGTATCTCGTCACTTTCTGCACCATAATTGTTCCTATTATGGAGTAATTCATTACCTTCTGTGAAGATTTCATTCAGCTCAAATTCTTCATCATCACTGACTTCTTGTAGCTCACCTTCATTATCATCTTCCATATCACTCACATAGCCCGTTGGAACATCATTATAGATGTAATCCAACCCATCTACAATTAGGTTGACATTTTCCATTCTGTGTGACAGGTCATCAAAAAAGTCATTAATCTTAAGTATTTGTAGGAAGAAAAAACGTGTGACTGCAGAAATATGCAAAAAAGTCAAAAGTAAAAAAAGTCATTAGTCTTAAATACCTCCAAAATGGAAAAAAGTCTTAAATACCTCCAGAATGCAAAAAAGTCAAAAGTCAAAAAAGTCATTAGTCTTATTATCTTTATTTTAACATGAAACTGGTATAATTGGTATTTATCATAGCAACTCTTATTTCATGACATGAGTTTCTCTATACATGTTGGTTTATACCGTCAATGTATTGATACTGTATACACTTCGAAACCAGTTTTGATTCCAGCTTAAAAGCATAGAATTCCTCAATAAAGTCACCATTAGAGTTTCTTACAAAAGTATTCTTATACCAAAAATTGAATGATTTAATATTCTCTAATAAAGAAGCCGCTGGAGTATAAAGCAATAGCATCATCTTTACATGATATGGTTCAAAAAAGCATTAAGGTCAGATTCTTTTGATAGCACAAAACACTGAAGTGGAATTTCTCTAATGTGTTCCTTAATTAATTAGTTTTCTAAAATAAATAAATAAATAAAACATGTGTGTTTTAAGGAGGAGGAGTATACAAATGAATTATGAGGTTTTCATCTGCTGATTTGTACAGAATAAGTACAAGAATAACAACTACACAAATTACTGTTTTACCTTCAACCCAATGTTAATCAGAGAGAGAGAGAGAAGCAGCTTCACCGGTAGGGTTAGTCGGGGGAAGAAGCAGACAGCTTCATCGATGGTAGACAGGTAGAGTTATAGAGGAGGAAGGAAAAGTTTGTAGAAAACTGAGGGAAGAGGCTTCGCACTTCTTTGATTGGGTTTTGGAAGATTCCCGCTCATTCGGATTAGGGTATGGGTTATCTAAGTTGGGTCAAAATTTTAAATAGATGACTGTCATCTATTTACACTCACCGTCAGACATGGGCATAGTTGCCCCTTCTTAAGGGAATATCAAGATTTATGCACAAAAAATAAGTCTATGGGCTTAAATGTTCTTTACTGGCAACTTGAGGGGGCTTTTTGCCCCTTTTCCCTATTTTCTGCGCTTTTGGGACGGATATTTCCGTCGCATGTCGGCGCCAACACCGCCAAGATATGCGAAATATCTAGAACGGGTGTGGCTCTGTTTTTGCGACGGATATGGCCGAGCCAAACTTCGAAGTATATAAACTGTCCTTTGTCGATTTCGTCTAAACCCTAGCCCATTTCTTCTTCCTCCCCTCTCCGCCTCTGCTTCTTCCGCTGAGTACGAACTCCGGCCACCACTTACCTAAATAGTCCGGCCACTATTTACTTACCCTCCATCTCCCACCACGAAGTCCGGTCACCACTGACTCTGCTTCCCCCTCTATCTTCCACGACTTACTCAGTCCTCCACATACTCCGGCCACATCATAGTCCGTCCAGCACGAGGCTTTCACTGACGACGCTTGGCTCCAAGGAAGCCGCCTCCCCCTCCTGCATGCCGTGTTTCTAGCCATCTCCGGCCACGACGACGTTTGTTTCTCCCTCACCGGCCATCGTCTTCGCTCTGCATCCAGGTTATGTCCCATAAATACTTCTTGTTTACGGTTTTTCATATAAATTTTATTTAAACGTATTGTTATTTTAAGTTTAATACAAAGTCGATATTTATAAAACATTATTTTAAAAAAAAATTAGTTTGTAAATGATTTGTTATAAACTATTTATGAAGTATTATCATCTATATAAATTTATGACAAAGGGATTTCTATAGTATTAAAGTGGGTTTTTTTTAATTTAGAAACAAAGTATAATTAGCAATAGAAATTATAACAGTTGTATTTATAATTACAAACAAAGTAATATATATTTTTGTTCATATATTTTTGTTTATATATTTTTTTTATTAGAAGAGAGCTATTATAATAAACTGAAAAATATGAAGGCCGCTAGTTATGAAGTATTTATAAATTTATATGAAAGAAGTGTTTATAAATTAATATTATGAACGAAGTATTATAAATATGATTGTGATATTTATATATATTATAAATTTGTATTATAAACGAGGTGATAATTATGAAGTATTGTAATCATCTTGTCCAATCAGTGGCGGAACTAGAACTTCTTGTGAGGGGGTGTTGAGAAAGTTTGTGTAAACTTGGATCGGCAACAACGTCATTGGGACGCAAACGCCCTTTTATTTGTTCGGTAGACGTTTTTGAAGATTTTCCACTCGGTATTACGAATTTAACATGCTTAACCTAACAAACTACACAAATTTGTCAATTCATATAATAATCATCCTTGATTTCTATTTAATAACTATATTCACTATTAAATTAATATGATTATTTAGTTAAAGAAAAGAGGAACACATTATACTTGAATAGTAAAATAAAATCGATCAAGCCACAAGCAAACTAGCATTACGCGCACTACCTGTGTACCTAATAAAATAAATACACTCCAACAGACAACAATTAACCAACCCACATTAGAAATTTACAGTTTAGAATTTATACATAAAATTGTATATATTGATGTAAAATACGGAGTCAAATTAAGAACAATTGAACAAAAGATAAATTACCTTTTCAAACTTTCAATTCTCAAAAGCGGCCAAACGACATCCTAGTTACTGCTAGCTTTAGCAATGACGGCTTGACAACAGCGAAGGCCCATGCGTCTAGAACAGCACCGGCGATCCGGTGCTTGAATTTCCATCTTCAACTTTTGGTCTGACTGAACGAACTTACGAATGAACGGTGAACAACCTAAGTAAGTTTCTGATATTTAATTCTATTCTATTACTCCGTAATTTGATAGGATGTCGTTTTGTGTTTCGCTTCTGTCGTTTTACTTTTTGTCTTCTTTCGACTTAATGGAACGTTGTCGTTTAAGTCTTCAACCAAATGCTTTCTAAATACGGAGTATTAAAAAACCTCCGCAATAGCAGAGCTGCGGACCACCATCGAGGAAGCCAGGGGCGCCGGACACGATGAAACTTCAGGGGCGCTGGATAACATAATACATATATATACCTAGACTATTCCGGCGAAGGGGTGGCGCCGGCACTCCCTCTCTCCCCCTGGTTCCGCCACTGCATACAGTATCATAAACTTCGTTTTTATTAACAAAGTATATAAATTCCAAACTCTTATATACCTCTGAGTGCCAAACTCAGAAATTAACTATAAATAATGTTAAACCAATAATTATAATAATTATGAAAGCTGTAAAACCGTATATACATGATGTAGAATTATAACTTGGTAATTAATCTGGCAGTTTGACAATCTGTGTATTACTTCCTTTTATAACTAGGTATAACAATCTGTTTATATTATTAAATCTTTACTTCTATTTTGTATGCATTTGGTTATAGCCTAACTGTTTCACTAGTCTCTTTTTATAAAATTGCTATGTGTTTCAATAGAATGTCTGCCCGTATAGGTTCATTCAGTTCCTTTACTTCCTCCCGTGGAGGTCGGGGAGGTAGAGGGAGCCCAATCATAAACCGCCTTGAGCAGAACTCTCCTCCAGCTGATTCACATTAGTTTGTCCGATCCCAACACCTTTCTGATGAACATACAAATGGTTCTGATTTTGCTACCCCCAATGATTATGTTCAGACAAAGATCTTCATTTCACCCTTTGAAATGAGAAGGTTTAGTAATACTGCCTAATGTAATTGGACATAGAATATTTCTACATATACATTATTTCTGTTTGGTTTTATGATGCAGCAACCCTACTGTCCTAAACAACATCATTTCAATCCTGACTAACAATTTACACGGTCCATGGCGTTCTTTTATGAATGCGGATGCTGATCAACGCAACCGTTGGTGGAAACTGTTTCAGGTATGTTATAGGTTCTTATTGTGTAAGCACTGTTATTTTAGATTGATTGTAAACAGTTTGGGAATTCTGATGTTGCTCGTTTTTGTTTTTGTTTTTTCAGAGGAAGTATGAGTGGGATGCCTGCTTTAATACCAAAATGAAAAAGAAGTTCAAGTCTCGGGCCTCTGAATGGTTGAGCAAGAACATTGGTAGGGCTAGGCGGGACAACAAGAAGCCTGACTGGATTGGTGATGGAGATTGGAAGTTGTTGCAAGAGTATTGGGCCTCTGATGCTTTTAAGAAGAAGAGCCAAGTTAGGAAGAAGAACCGAAACTCTAAAGCGGGAAAAGAATCACAGTATCGCGGTGGCAGGATACCGGTGACGAAGCATGTTGAAAGGCTGGTAAGTTTCTGTTATAATTTTGAATCATAATTCAATGATTATTGTTTTTACTTTTAATCATATTTTTTACTTATAAATCTGTAGACTAAGCAGTTGAATAGGGCTCCCTTGAAGATTGAAGTGTTCGATATGGTGTATGTCCCGAAGTCGGGTGACCCCCCACCACGTGTTGTTGAAACAAAGGTAAAGAAACATATACTTTTGTTATAAATTTTAGTTATTATGTTATTATAGAACAAATATATTTTAACAATAATTTTCTGTTTGTGCAGCAAAAGTATAGTGAAATGAAAGCGCTGGCTGAATCACAAGGGAAGTCTTATGATGAGGATGACTCCGAGCTGTTCTGTAAGGTGGTCCCGCTGTACAAAGGCAGGCGGTTCGGGACGGGATTTGAAGCCGAGTCGTTGGAAGACGTTGAATGCTCCAGTAGAATATCGGGGCCGACTCAGCAGGAAATAGATTCCCGCATCAAGGACCAGCTGGAGGCCCGATTTGTGAAGCAGGAGAAGCAATGGCAAAGCCAAATGGAGAAGATGACTTCCGTGTTTACGACGTACATGGAACAAGTCCGTAGCTTGAACCCTAATGTCCCGATGCCCGATTTCTCACCTTTTCGTACCCCGACCTCTACCCAAATGAATCTCCATGATACTCTTGAAGTGCGGGTGGAAGATATCTTTGTGTAATGAACAAACACTTTTAATTTTATTGCATGTTTTGGACATCTTCTGGCAATTTGTTTGCCATTTTAACATCTTATTCGACAGTGGTTTATCTGCCTGTACTTCTGTAATAATTTATCTTTTTCTTGTTATATATGCCTTTTAATTTTCTCTATATTGCATGTGATGTTCGTATGTCTATACTTCTGTTTTAATGTCATGCTGCTTATAACAATTTTAATTTAAAAAAAATGTACACCGTACATATGTACGGTATCCCGTACTGCCGTACATATGTACGGTGTACATTTTTTTTATAAATTAAAATTTGGCACGGATTTATCCGTATCAAGATTCCTCTCAAAATTAACTAAATTGCAGTGTCATTCTAGATAATTTGGCTCGAGAGTTTCCGTGCCAAAATACCCGGGTAAAAATTCGGGTGACCCGGTAGTTGCCGAGCCAATATCCGTGCCTAATGAAATCCGAGCTAAAATGGTTGTGAATTATCAAGTAGGTTAGCCCGGATTATTCCGTGTCTAAATCCGAGACAAGACTTGGCTCGGATGCAAATCGCCGCGCCAAACCATTTGGCACGAGCCAGGTGGGACGATTTTCGTTTCCGTGCCAAATCCGAGCCAACAGCGCTAGTCTGGGATTTCAATGAAGCTATTCGTGCCAAAATCCGACCCTCTGGCGATTTTTTTTGGTAGTGCGTACTACGTATTTAGATATGTAACAATTAGTTTTTAGATTCCAATGTAAATAGTTCTTGATGTATCCTCAATGACATCTGAATTGGAAATAATGACTACGTTGTTATTTTTGTAAGTTTGATGTGGTTTGCTTAGGTTTTTATTTAATTATATTAATTAATATGGAAATTATAACATTTAAGACATTAAAAATTTTAAAAATTGAAAAATTGCGGCGGTTCTTTTATTAATAACCGACACG